GGATGCCAGGAATGAGGACCCCTACTGGCCCCAGACACTTGGGCAACACCCAAATGGTCAGTCTGCCCCTGCCCTTAGCCTGTCCTGATCCCCCTCTCCCCAGTATAATCTCATTATCCACTGACTGATCCCATTAAACCCATAGTTATAACAGTAGGTAGGTAGCTCAGTGGGTAGAGACGGTGGGTGTACTCACTGGGTTTGCCCACCTTGCATCTCTGCAGCAGATTCAGCATCATGCCCAGGTCCTCAGCCTTGACAGCATGGAGCAGCTTCTGCTCCTTCCCAATCCTCAGTGCTGCACCTTGGGGGGTAGAAAGACAATACTGAGCACTGGAGAGGAAGGGCAGATTCTGGTGGAGCTCTATTGGTCCTCACATCCCCAGCATTCGTCCCTTGAGAGGAAGGAGAGGACAGGGAGATGGGGACACCAGTGCTGCTGGAGTGAGAGCACACCTGAGTGTGATCACCATTCTCGGGAGCCTAGCTGAGCTTGAGGGGTTAGCGGGGTGAGCCCAGGGGAGGAATACTGGGAGTGAGATTACACTGAACTGCCAGGAAGGGGAGAGAGAAAGAGTGGAGGGGTCAACCCCCCACTGGTCTCATGATCCGGCCTTCCTTCCCTGTGCCATATGATGTGCTGCATTGACTCCAAGCTGTACACTCTGCAATTGCATCGGAGTTTATTGTCACATATTTATAAATTGTATGTTACACTGAAATATGTATATGTAAGGAGCCCCTCATGGGCCACCCTACTGGCCCTGGGCTCTCAGGCAGTAACTGATTGGCCGAATGGTCAGTCCACCCCCCTGATTTTTACACTGAGTTGCACTCAATGAGTGTACAGATATCAGTGTTATATACAGATAATAGCACTCATTGTACAGATATCAGTTTTATATATAGGTGGTTAGGTACTAGCGCTGTGTACAGATATCTGTGTTATACAGTCAGGTCCATAAATATTGGGACATCGACACAATTCTAACATTTTTGGCTCTATACACCACCACAATGGATTTGAAATTAAACGAACAAGATGTGCTTTAACTGCAGACTGTCAGCTTTAATTTGAGGGTATTTACATCAAAATCAGGTGAACAGTGTAGGAATTACAACAGTTTGCATATGTGCCTCCCACTTGTTAAGGGACCAAAAGTAATGGGACAGAATAATAATAATCATAAATCAAACTTTCACTTTTTAATACTTGGTTGCAAATCCTTTGCAGTCAATTACAGCCTGAAGTCTGGAACGCATAGACATCACCAAGCGCTGGGTTTCATCCCTGGTGATGCTCTGCTAGGCCCCTACTGCAATTGTCTTCAGTTCCTGCTTGTTCTTGGGGCATTTTCCCTTCAGTTTTGTCTTCAGCAAGTGAAATGCATGCTCAATCGGATTCAGGTCAGGTGATTGACTTGGCCATTGCATAACATTCCACTTCTTTCCCTTAAAAAAGCTCTTTGCTTGCTTTTGCAGTATGCTTTGGGTCATTGTCCATCTGCACTGTGAAGCGGCATCCAATGAGTTTTGAAGCATTTGGCTGAATATGAGCAGATAATATTGCCCGAAACACTTCAGAATTCATCCTGCTGCTTTTGGCAGCAGTCGCATCATCAATAAATACAAAAGAGCCAGTTCCACTGGCAGCCATACATGCCCACGCCATGACACTACCACCACCATGCTTCACTGATGAGGTGGTATGCTTAGGATCATGAGCAGTTCCTTTCCTTCTCCATACTCTTCTCTTCCCATCACTCTGCTACAAGTTGATCTTGGTTTCATCTGTCCATAGGATGTTGTTCCAGAACTGTAAAGGCTTTTTTAGATGTCGTTTGGCAAACTCTAATCTGGCCTTCCTGTTTTTGACGCTCACCAATGGTTTACATCTTGTGGTGAACCCTCTGTATTCACTCTGGTGAAGGCTTCTCTTGAATGTTGACTTTGACACACATACCCCTACCTCCTGGAGAGTTTAATTGATTTGGCTAACTGTTGTGGAGGGTGTTTTCTTTACCAGGGAAAGAATTCTTCGGTTATCCACCACAGTTGTTTTCCGTGGTCTTCCGGGTCTTTTGGTGTTGCTGAGCTCACCGGTGCATTCCTTCTTTTTAAGAATGTTCCAAACAGTTGTTTTGGCCACGCCTAATGTTTTTGCTATCTCTCTGATGGGTTTGTTTTGTTTTTTCAGCCTAATGATGGCTTGCTTCACTGATAGTGACAGCTCTTTGGATTTCATCTTGAGAGTTGACAGCAACAGATTCCAAATGCAAATAGCACACTTGAAATGAACTCTGGACCTTTTATCTGCTCATTGTAATTGGGATAATGAGGGAATAACACACACCTGGCCATGGAACAGCTGAGAAGCCAATTGTCCCATTACTTTTGGTCCCTTAACAAGTGGGAGGCACATATGCAAACTGCTGTAATTCCTACACTGTTCACCTGATTTGGATGTAAATACCCTCAAATTAAAGCTGACAGTCTGCAGTTAAAGCACATCTTGTTCGTTTAATTTCAAATCCATTGTGGTGGTGTATAGAGCCAAAAATGTAAGAATTGTGTTGATGTCCCAATATTTATGGACCTGACCGTATTTTGATAACAGCACTAAGTGCTATTCCCTATATATAACACTGATCTCTGTACCCTAGTACTAGTACTTAACTACCTATATTTAAAACTGATATCTGTACACTGACTGCTATCACCTATATATAGCATTGATATATATACACTGAGTGGTACTCAGTGTGCAGATACAAGTGTGCATAGAGATCAGTGGGTTATTATATATAGTGAGAAGCAATTGGTGCATGGGCACTGGGCAGGAACACTCAGACTGGCAGAGCAGAGTGACAATAGCTGTTCTTTTGGGCTTAACACCCTCTTTTCTGCATGTTAATCCGAGGACATTTCCAGGGGCAGACTGAGCCTCATGGGGCCCCTTACTGAACCCGGGCCCTCGGGAAGTACCCGAATGGTCAGTCCACCCCTGGTATTTGGTACATAGTACCCCTGCTCATTCACCAAACAAAGTCAAAAGTAAATAAAAACCCAGAGGTGGCTTTGACAAGTCCTTTATTAAAAACAAAAGTCCCCTGTAGTAGATCCAAAGTCAAAATGCATGCCGACCCACACGAAAAAAAAAAAAAACGGCCACCCGCTAAACGTGTTCTGTGGAGAGACACTTGCCAAATGACAGGTAAACATGGGGGTGGGGTCACCTGCGAGTGACATGTCCTGTAAAGAGACACTCGCCAAATGACAGGTAAACATGGGAGTGGGGTCACCTGGTAAGGGAGTCAACCCCCACACTCCGCAACTGCTGACCCCGGGTTCTAGGGACATGGCGGCCGTCCGCTTCGTAACAACCACCTATTCTTCTCAATGAATTTGGATCATTCGTTAATTTATTCAATTCAAAAATTAAATTATCTCTATGAAATGAATGAAACAAATGCCTTTGTTATTTCTTTTTTCAGATTTATTGCCATTTGTTTCTATGTTCATTCAGAAATTCGGACACATCTGAATTTCCAAAAACAATATTTTTGTCCGAAAAGCAAATCAAAACTAAATTAATTGCACATTTCTAGTGGTAATTAGGATTAGAGAATTGGAATATTTTAGGGCATAACAGAGCAAGGGTTTATTTTTTTATATTTTTACCTGTCCAGAAATTGCTGCACCACCAGACTGAGGACATGTGCCAGGTTTGACATGTATGCCAACTTTTCCTGCCAGAAGACTAAAAACAGGTTGGTGCCTGCTCCTACAGAACTAAAAGAATCTCTGCCTCAGTGTTGCTCCTGTCCTCTAGGCAGACCAACTGCAGCACTGTGTGGCACCTTTTAGCCTGAGTCATTGCATAGGTTCTTGAACACTTAAAAGAGGTTCAGAGGATGACTCAGAAGGAGATGGCACTTAAGAGGAGCAGACAGCTGTTGGTGAAGGGTGGGGATGGCCTTACAGATGACGAAATGTGGTGGCCAGGAAACTGCCACTGTGATACAGCATATTTTGCAAATTCCTGAAAGGGGGGCGAATCCACTAGAAATTGTAAAGCCAGCATTTTTGCCAAGCTGGCATTTATATCCTGGGCATGGGGGTGGTTAGGGTTTTTTTTTTTTTCTCTTAGCAGCTTAAACAGGAAACATTTGCCTGCTCAATGCTACAGCTGGTAGTGTGGTATTAGCAGAATCGAAGCAAGGCTCCTGCCTACGTTTGCCCCTACTCTGTGATGCCCCATTTACATCTTCTTCTCTGCTAGTGCAGCCATAGTGTAGTCCTCTGTCACCTCTTGCTATACCATTATCCCTATTGATGGATGCTGCTGAGAGGGCATGGTGCTGTAGGGTCCCTATTGTAAGACAGAATCAAAAGTGGAGCTTAGGCTGAGAGTTGAGGCGTCAGCATAGTCAGACTGGCCGGGTCAGCAACAAAATGTGGCAGAAAGGAACAAAATCAGAATCCAGGAGAAACGTCAAAGGGCTGCAAGGGCTGGGACAGTGATAATAATGGGGGATTTTAACTACCATATTTTTCGCTCCATAAGACGCACTTTTTTCCCCCAAAAAAAGGGGGGAAAATGTCAGTGCGTCTTATGGAGCGAATATAAAGCGGCCGGTCCGGTATTTTTGCGGCCACCATGTCAGAATACCGGGCCGGCCGCTCAGCTGTGGTCTCCTGCAGGGCCTTACCTGTTCCTCGCTCCAGCGCTGCACAGTCTTCCCGCGCTGGCTTCTGTGACAGCCGGGTGCCCACTGCGCATGTGCCGCACTTTGTGAATGATCCGGTGTCTTCTGGGACACATGAAAGGTCCCAGAAGGCGCCGGGCCATTCACAAAGCGCAGCGCTTCTCGCACATGTGCAGTGGGCACCCGGCTGTCACAGAAGCCGGCCCGGGAAGAAGAGGGAAGGACAACTCCGCGGAAGTGGGAGCGGGTACCTGTTAAATTCGGGTACCCGCTCCCCCTCCCTCCCCAAAGGTCAGCAGTCTCTGGTCATTCCCTGCACTGTCTGCAGTCTCTGGTCATCCCCTGCACTGTCTGCAGTCTCTGGTCATTCCCTGCACTGTCTGCAGTCTCTGGTCATCCCCTGCACTGTCTGCAGTCTCTGGTCATCCCCTGCACTGTCCGCAGTCTCTGCTCATCTCCTGTACTGTGTCCGCAGTCTCTGCTCATCTCCTGTACTGTGTCCGCAGTCTCTGCTCATCTCCTGTACTGTGTCCGCAGTCTCTGCTCATCTCCTGTACTGTGTCCGCAGTCTCTGGTCATCCCCTGTACTGTGTCCACAGTCTCTGGTCATCCCCTGTACTGTGTCTGCAGTCCATTGGTTCAGAATATTTTTTTTTTCTTGTTTTTCACCTCTAAAACCTAGGTGCGTCTTATGGTCAGGTGCGTCTTATGGAGCGAAAAATACGGTACTCAGAAATTGTCTGGAGTAAACTCACTGCATGAGCAGTTAAAGGGCAAAAACTTATAAACCTACTACAGGACACTTTTATAGAACAGATCATAGAGGCCACAGCTAGGAATGATGCTTTCTGGACCTGGCAATCTCAAACCATGCAGAGCTTATTACTAATGTCCATATAAAAGAACATCTGGGTAGCAGTGACCATAACATGGTTTCATTTATTGTTAGCTGTAAACAAAAAGCACATACAGGAAAAATAAAAAACCGCTCAACTTTAAGAGCACTAATTTCCAAGGCTGAGAGCTTCTCTCCAAGACTAAGGCTACGTTCACACTAGCCTTGTGTGCAGCCGGCAGAGAGGCGTTTGGGAAGCGTTTTTACTGCTTCCCAAACGCCTCTGCCAATTCTGCACATTACAGCACATGGTGCTGTTCTAACGGGAGCGTTTGCGTTGCGTCGCGGCAAAACGGACGCCTCTGGTCGAGTCAGGAGGCTTTGAAGCCTCCTATTCTCGTCTATGGTGCCGCTCCGCAAACGCCCGGCCGGCGTTTGCGGTGCGGTTGTGACGCGGTTGCGGGGCGTTCGCTGAGCGGTAACACCACTCAAACTGTATTATAGGCATTTGTGGGGCGTTATTAACGCTCGGCAAACGCCTAGCAACCGCCACTAAACCGTGCATGCGGCGTTTGAGGAGCGTTTGCCGAGCGTTAAAAAACGCTCCACAAACGCCGGACCAACGCTTGCCAAACAATATAGGGGCGTTTTGGCAAGCGTTGGTAAAACAGCCAAGTGTGAACGAGCCCTTAGACTGGGAGGGAATACTGGCATTGATGAACACAAACACAGAAATGGGAGTTCTTCAAAAAGACTGTATGTGAACACACTGCAAAATATATTCCCACGGGCAACAAGTTTAAAAGGCTAAAAATCAGACCTATGTGGCTTACGGCCAAAGTTAAAAAAGCTATAAATAATAAAAGAGCTTTGCTATTAAATATAAAAATGAAGGAAGGCTATCACCGTTTAAACATTACAAAAAAATGTAACAGAATATGTAAAAAGGAAATAAAGGCCGCAAAAATTGAAAATAAACGGCAGATTGCAAAAGACAGCAGAACAAACCCCCAAAAATCCTTAAAATATATTAATAGTAAAAAGGTCTGGTCCTACCATGTGGGCCCTCTACAAAATAATCTAGAGTGGGTGACTGGGGACAAAGAGAAGGCAAATTTATTAAATGCCTTCTTCAGCTCTGTGTTTCCAAAGGAGCATGGGGTAGCTCTTCTCCACAATGGCCATGGTATTTTTTTTTTTTATTTAACCATTTGCCGACCAGCCACTGTAAAAAAACGGCGACAGGGTGGCACCGCTGCGCAAAATCATGTTTTAAAACGTCATTTTGCAAAACAGGTAGGGGGCGCGCGCCCGCCCTACCTGTGCTGCCGATCGCGAGCGCGGGTGTCAATCAACGGGTCCTGGCTGGTCATTACCCGCCAGATCCCGGCGATTGCCGGCAAACACTGACACAGAGCACAGCTGCATTGTTTACAATGCAGCTCTGCTCCCTTTCAGTTCCCAACACACTGTTCCTGAGAGTGGAGTTTAGCTCTCGGGATCAGTGTGTTCCTGTGAAGTACACACCCCCCCCCCACCCACAAGTAAAACACTCCCCTCACACAGTTAACCCTTTGATTGAATAAAAATTTTAACCCCTTCCTCCCCAGTGCCATTAGTACAGTGTCAGTGTTTTTTTCTTGCACTGATCATGTATTGGTGTCTCTGGGGATGTCAGTGACCCCAAGTCAGTTCCCCCCCAGTTTCAAAATGTCCGCCGCAGTCTCGCCATAAGTGGCTGATCACTGTCATAAATCACTGATCACCACCATAAGTCGCTGATCGCCGCCATTATTAGTATAAAAAAAAAAATATCCCATTATCTTTCCCGCCATTTGTAGATGCTATGACTTTCACATAAACCAATTAATTTACACATATTGGGATTTTTTTTTAGCAAAGACATGTCGCAGAATACATTTTGGCTGAAATTTATGCCGAAATTTGATTTTTACATTTTCTTACTGGACATGTTTTATAGCAAAAAGTCCAAAATATTGTTTTTTTTTTTAAAAAAAATTGCCAGCCTTTTTTTTTTATAGCGCAAAAAATAGAAAATGCACAGGCGATCAAATACCACCAAACGAAAGTTCAATTCGTGGGAAAAAAAGGATGTAAATTTAATTTGGGTGCAGTGTTGCATGACCACGCATTTGTCAGTTAAAGTAATGCAGTGACGTAACACAAACCGCTTCTGTAACCGCTTCCTGACCGCCCTATAGCAGAAATACTGCTACAGGGCGGCATGGGTGCGCAAAATCACATGTATATATACATGATTTGCGCTCCCGTGGTTTTCATGCCCCTCCCAGATAGCGTCAGATTGCCCGTCAATACACCAGTCATCACATTTAACCCCTTGACTGCCAGGAAGACGCTCATGCACAATAAACCTCCATTGCTAGTATAGTGTCTGAACGGATCAATATCTTTGATCAGATCAGCACTATACCAGCGTTCAGCTTAGTATAGCGTCTCCAAAAATGCAGCGTTAGCGGGATCAGCCCTGGCACCTGCCAGCACCTGCGTTTAGCCCCTACGCTTACCCCCCCTTCTCCCCCACCAAGTGCAGTGTCAGTAGGTCCCTGTCACTTGATACATTGCACACAAAACCGCAGTGTTCGCAGAATCAGGCCTGATCTCTGTTAGCACTTGCCAGTAAATTTTGATGACTCTCATATGCAGCAGAGTGCCAGTACTAGTGCCGCGCTACCTTTTGGTGAACTGGCGAGCACCAGCGGTCTAGTACATCTTGGTCTTTCACATATCTCTTAGATTGTAAGCTCCCAGGATCAGGGCCCTCCTAACCCACTTGTATTGAACTGTATTGTTCTGTATTGTCTCCCATTATATTGTAGCGCTGAGCAAACTGTTGGCGCTATATAAATCCTGTATAATAATAATAATAATACCAGCATTTCAACGACAATACACTGTCATCCTCGGGGTGACCCTGAATTTGATTGGCTCCACAAAATTCAGCCCCTCGCAAATCACCTTAACCAAAAATTTGCAGATGTCTATACTCCCCAGCAAAAAATCTGCATTGATGAGTCCCCTGATTAATTTTTCTGGCCGCCTTGCATTCAAACAATTTCTCCCCAGCAAGTGTGCCAGATATGGGGTCAAGATGTAGAAGACCTGTGAGAGGACAACAGGCTATACTTATAAGTTTTGGATTTACAAGGGAATAGTCACGTGGAGCCCCCCAGATGCCAAGACTACATGGGGAGTAGTGCCAAGATAGTTTTGGACTTGGTGTCATCCTTTTTCCATATGGGGTACTACTTATACGAGGACAATTTTTATTCAAGCGTGCCACTATTTAGACATTTGTACAATCTTGGAATTGGCGCATGTGGCAAAGTGTGACCTAATGTGTGCCCACCATTAGAAGTGGGTGGATGCAGGGAGGAATATTCTAATGGTGGGCATACCACACACTTTTTCTGGCAGAGATTTTTTCTCTTTTTTTAAATTCAGTCCACAGGCTGCATACAAAAAAAAAAAAGAACATAGCATATATACCCAACAAGGACCAGCAACGTACTGGTACATCACTGGACTTTGAATGGTTATATCAGGATGATGAAATAGAATAAAAACCGGGATATTGTTGGATGAAAAATAAATGGGAATCAAAAGGGGGGTTCTAAATTAAATTAACCCCAATAATAAATATAGCCGACTCACATAAAAATGGCTATGTGGTCTCTTCAGGACCTAGAACAGCATATGAAAAAGAAGAGGAGACCAAGGGAAAAGAGGCCCCTAGGTCAAGAGAGTCCAACTAAGGACAAACAGCGGCCTAATGGAAAATCAATAACAAACATTTATTGCAGCATGATAAGCAGATATAAAAATACAAAAAATTTAAAAAATTGGGGAAAAAGACCTCACAGCCACCAACAGAGACAGATAAAGGATGAAAATGACGTGGTCATCCGGGATGACGTCATGTGCAAGTGAGTCCAGACACCTCGGTGTAGATGCAAGGCCTATGAGGAAGATGAAGCTCATACACTATAGGATGTAATATGGGAAAAGAAAGGAAAGGCCATGATAAATTGTTACGTATGGTAATGAGGGAAACAAATAAAGCTAATTCAACAGTATCTTGTATATCTAGCTCATGGAGAAAGGGTGATTAATAAACAATCATAATTGGAGCAACAGGAAGGAGACAAATTGAATGCAGGTGTCCATGGTGGAAGCATGAATAGAGTGACTCTCAATGAAGCCACATATGAATTAATTACAGTGAAGAACTAAATGATGAGACTTGACTGAAAATATGGTTGTACATGAGCTCATGTAAATATAGTAGAATGGAAGCCAGTCAGGACATTCACCCCCATAGCAAAACCCAACCAGGGAATGCAGGGTATAGTACAGTTGCGTTCAAAATAATAGCAGTGTGTTGAAAAAAGTGAATAAAGCTCAAAATCCCTTTTTTTTTCTTTTTACATCCCCTCTCCCTTCCTATCTAGATCCCCAACCCTCCCTCCCCCCTTCCTCACCCCCCAATTTTATCCTACGTTTTCCACCTTATCAAAACATAAACACTTAATTTCTTAAAGCAAGGAAAATAGTCTCAAAAAAAAAAAAACTCCTTATTACTTCATATATTTAACCTTCAGTCTATATTCTTCCCTTTTGTTCCATTTCACATAATATGCTCCTAATCTATCCTCTTGAGTGTAATACAATTTTTCCATCCTACTAATCTGTTCCACTCTATCCCTCCAGTCCTCCTCCCCTGGTGCCTCAACTTTACGCCAAAACTTAGGTATCAATCCCTTTACAGCATTCAAATAGTGCCATATTCCTGTTTCTTTATATTTCTTAACTGACGGATCTGTACTATGGAAAAGACATATTTCTGCATCCAATCTCAACTCTACTTCCATTATCAACCCAATTTGATGTATTATTTTCTTCCAGAATATCTGTATTTTTGGACACTCCCACCAAATGTGACATGTCGTGCCAATCTCTCCACACTCTCGCCAACACCCTGAAGATTTCTCCACACTCATCCTGTGTTCCACCCTTGGTGTAATATGCCATCTTAGCAAACTCTTATAATTCATTTCCACCTCACACATACTTATATTTTCGTGAATCAATCTATATATTTTTTTCTGTTTATCTTCCCTATCTCCACCCCTAAATCTCTTTCCCAATTTGCTATATACATTAATTTAGTATCCATATCTAATTCAGTTAGAATTTTATATACTTTAGCTGTGCCGTGCTTCCCATCTCCTTGTGATCCCAACAACCTTTCAAACGCATTCCAATTTTCCCTCGCTCTCAGAGGTTTCGGAAGGGTCCCAACAAAATGTTTCAACTGGTTATATTTCCACACATCTAGTTTAGTAAATATCCCTCCCTCTTCTTTCACCAAATCCCCATATGATTTCAATTCTACTCCTTCCATTATATCACCCAATTGTGCCTCTTCCTTCTTAAACCACCTTCCCGTAATCTCCTCTCTACCTGGGGGAAAATACTCTGAGTTTCTCAAAGGCATTAAAAGTGAATTAAAATCCCAATTCATCTGCTTATGCATTTTATCCCATACTCTAAAAACATTTAACGTGTACAAACTCCCTTCTACATTTCTATATTGTGAAGGCACCCATATACTATTACTTAAATTATTTCCACTGAGAGTGTTTTCAATTGTAACCCAACTTTTCCCATTTGGGTTATGCGTCCAATCGAATATTCTTGCCAAAATTACCGCTCTTTAATATCTCCTAATATCTGGCACTCCCAAACCCCCTTTCTCTTTATTTCTACTTAACACTTCATGTCAGGAATGGACTTGCCAGTAATGGTGGGACTCACCTGCCTTGTGGGCTGCAGTGCCAGGGCTGGCCAGCGGGTGCTCCCAGCAATCAGAGACTCAACCCTGCAGCCAGCCAAACACCTGAAGTTGATTATACAGGTGTATTTAAGGGATGCAGTCCCTGCCTTGGTGTGTGTTTTTCCTGGGCCCTGTATCTTGTTCCTGCATCCCTGTTGCTGTTCCTGTCCCTGTCTCTGTCTGATTCGTTGCTGACCCTGCCTGATCCGGACCTCTGCTGACTTCTCCTGTTTCATCCCTGGCTTGTGACCCCGACCATTCTCTGCCTGACCCCCTGTACCTACCTGCCCGATGTTATTGACCCGGCCTGCCTGATGACGCTTGCATTGTATGTACTGTTATCTGTGGGTGGTTTGGTTTGGTTCGTTTGCACTGTGTTATGTTTTAGTATTGCACTGCGTTTATGTTTGTATTGTTAGTCTTTAATAAATTATATTGTTTATAACTTATCTGAAGCCTGCGTTTCCCTGCGTCAGTCACATACCTCTGGTCACACCCCGGAGCCCTGACATTACACCAAGGCCAATCCTGACCAGAAGTGGCTGCACAGGGAAGCCATCTTGGCTTGTTGCTGGGAAGGATGGATCTTGATGAGGTTGTGTATTTATCTCTGCTAGTGTTTGATGACAGAGAGTATGCTTATCAAACTCTGAAGGAGTATCCCAGGGATGAACTGCTAGAATGTATACGGATCGCTCATTGCCTAGTAGATCAGGGCACAGAGTTCTCTGAGGTGCAGGCATTGATTCCGGTTTGTGCTGAGTTGGTTTCATCTGGTACCCCCCGAATGCAGGGATGAATTTTTGCCGCCATTTAGTGCCGACCAGGTAGAGTCCCTGGTATGGTTATTATGAGGATGATGTGGATTACTTTCTGGAGCGTTATTCTGCATGTTCACCACAGGTACTAAGAGATTGTATAAACGCAGTGCAGTCATTGACCAGACAGGCTTTGTGTAAACTGAGCTTTGTTCAACCCATACTGCAGACATGGTCAGACTTGTTGCACCCAGCCTCAGTCAGCTTACAACATCATTCCTCCACTCAAGGCATTCTTCCTGCATCCCCGACAGCACCCCCAGTGACTGCCCAGTATACTCTAACTACCACATACCAGTCCTCTGCTCCCACTCGCTGCACCTATCCTTTCTTTAACCCTGTAAAGAAGTCCTCTGTAGCAACTGCTCCCCCCTCTGTTCCATCTTCCAGCTCTTCTCTGTCCTCAGCTGCTCCATTCGTTTGCAGACCTGCGTTTACTTGCAGTGCCCCAGTAGTTAAAACCAGAAAAAAGCGGAAATTCTTTCCAACCAGTACCATCCTGCCAGTATCCAAACCGGTGAGCCTGCCCTCTGAGAACCTGCCTTCCGTGGTTCAGCCTGGTGCCTCGGCACCCGCACTTCAGCCTGATGTCTGTACCCAGCCTGATGTCTGTACCCAGCCTGATGAACTGATCCAGCCTGATGATCCTATCACGCCTGATGACCCAGTGCCCGCTGTCGAGCCAGACGATCCGGTACTTGATGACCCGGTGCCCACTGTCATGCCTGGTGACCCGATGCCCGCTGTCGAGCCAGACGATCCAGCGCCAGATGACCCGGTGCCCGCTGTCGTGCCAATTGACTCAGAGCCCACTGTTGTGCCTGGTGACTCGGTGCCCACTGCCTTGCCAGATGACGCGGTGCCCGCTGTCGAGCCAAATGACCTGGTGACCCGATGCCCGCTGTCGGGCCAGACGATCGAATGTCTGACCCAGTGCCCGCGGTCATGCCAGTTGACTCGGAGCCACTGTCGTGCCTGGTGACTCGGTGCCCACTGCCTTGCCAGATGACGTGGTGCCCGCTGGCGAGCCAAATGACCTGATGCCTGGTGACCCAATGCCCGCTGTCATGCCTGGTGACCCGATGCCCGCTGTCGAGCCAGACGATCCAACGCCAGATGACCCGGTGCCCGCTGTCGATCCAGACGATCCGGTACCTGATGACCCGGTGCCCGCTGTCGTGCCAATTGACTCAGAGCCCACTGTCGTGCCTGGTGACTCGGTGCCCACTGCCTTGCCAGATGACGCGGTGCCCGCTGTCGAGCCAAATGACCTGATACCTGGTGACCCGATGCCCGCTGTCGAGCCAGACGATCCAATGTCTGACCCAGTGCCCGTGGTCATGCCAGTTGACTCGGAACCCACTGTCGTGCCTGGTGACTCGGTGCCCACTGCCTTGCCAGATGACGCGGTGCACGCTGGCGAGCCAAATGACCTGATGCCTGGGGGCCCGATGCCTGTCGCCCCTCCTGGGGGCCCGATGCCTGTCGCCCCTCCTGGGGGCCCGGCGCCCGCTGCTCCGCCTGGGGGCCCGGTGCCCGCTGCCCTGCCTGGGGCCCGATGCCTGTCGCCCCGCCTGGGGGCCCGATGCCTGTCTCCCCTCCTGGGGGCCCGGCGCCCGCCGCTCTGCCTGGGGGCCCGATGCCTGTCGCCCCGCCTGGGGCCCGATGCCTGTCCTCCGCCTGGGGCCCGATGCCTGTCGCTCCGCCTGGGGGCCCGATGCCTGTCGCTCCGCCTGGGGGCCCGATGCCTGTCGCTCCACCTGGGGGCCCGGCGCCCGCCGCCCCTCCTGGGGGCCCGGCGCCCGCCACTCCGCCTGGGGGCCTGGCGCCCGCCGCCCCTCCTGGGGGCCCGATGCCTGTTGCCCCTCCTGGGGGCCCGGCGCCCGCCGCTCCGCCTGGAGGCCCAGCGCCCGCCGCCCCTCCTGGGGGCCCAATGCCTGTCGCCCCGCCTGGGGGCCCGATGCCTGTCTCCCCTCCTGGGGGCCCGGCGCCCGCCGCTCCGCCTGGGGGCCCGATGCCTGTCGCCCCGCCTGGGGGCCTGATGCCTGTCACTCCGCCTGGGGGCCGATGCCTGTCGCTCCGCCTGGGGGCCGGATGCCTGTCGCTCCGCCTGGGGGCCCGATGCCTGTCGCTCCACCTGGGGGCCCGATGCCTGACGCTCCGCCTGGGGGCCCGGCGCCCGCCGCCCCTCCTGGGGGCCCGATGCCTGTCACCCCTCTGGGGGCCCGCCGCCCCTCCTGGGGGCCCGGCACCCGCCACTCCGCCTAGGGGCCTGGCGCCCGCCGCCCCCTCCTGGGGGCCCGATGCCTGTTGCCCCTCCTGGGGGCCGGCGGCCCCGCCGCTCCGCCTGGAGGCCCAGCACCCGCCGCCCCTCCTAGGGGCCCGATGCCTGTCGCCCCGACTGGGGGCCCGATGCCTGTCGCCCCGCCTGGGGGCCCAATGCCTGTTGCCCCGCCTGGGGGCCCGGCGCCCGCCGCTCCGCCTGGTGGCCCGGCGCCCCGCCTGGGGGCCCGATGCCTGTCGCCCCACCTTGGGGCCCGATGCCTGTCGCCCCGCCTGGGGGCCCGATGCCTGTCGCTCCGCCTGGGGGCCCGATGCCTGTCGCTCCGCCTGGGGGCCCGCCGCCCCTCCTGGGGGCCCGATGCCCGTCGCCCCGCCTGGGGGCCCGATGCCTGTCGCCCCTCCTGGGGGCCCGCCGCCCCTCCTCGGGGCCCGGCGCCCGCCGCTTCGCCTGGGGGCCAGGCGCCCACCGCTCCGCCTGGGGGCCTGGCGCCCGCCGCCCCTCCTGGGGGCCCGATGCCTGTTGCCCCTCCTGGGGGCCGGAGCCCGCCGCTCCGCCTGGAGACCCAGCGCCCGCCGCCTGGGGGCCCGATGCCTGTCGCTCTGCCTGGGGACCCGATGCATGTCGCTCCGCCTGGGGGCCCGATGCCTGTCGCCCCGCCTGGGGGCCCGATGCCTGTTGCCCCGCCTGGGGGCCCGGTGCCCACCGCTCTGCCTGGGGGCCCGGCGCCCCGCCTGGGGGCCCGATGCCTGTCGCTCTGCCTGGGGACCCGATGCATGTCGCTCCGCCTGGGGGCCCGATGCCTGTCGCTCTGCCTGGGGGCCCGGCACCCGTCGCCTCTCCTGGGGGCCCGATGCCTGTCGCTCCACCTGGGGGCCCGATGCCTGTCGCTTTGCCTGGGGGCCCGTCACCCCTCCTGGGGGCCCGGCGCCCGCCGCTCCGCCTGGGGGCCCGATGCCTGTCGCTCCGCCTGGGGGCCCGATGCCTGTCGCTCCGCCTGGGGGCCCGATGCCTGTCGCTCTGCCTGGGGGCCCGATGCCTGTCGCCCCTCCTGGGGGCCCGGCGCCTGCTGCTCCGCCTGGGGGCCCGATGCCTGTCACCCCTCCTGGGGGCCCGGGGCCCGCTGCTCCGCCTGGGGGCCCAATGCCTGTCACCCCCCCCCTGGGGGGCCCGATGCCTGTCGCCCCTCCTGGGGGCCCGATGTGCTGCTGCCCGGAGTCCTGCCCGATGTGCCTCTGCCCGGAGTCCAGCTCGATGTGCCTCTGCCCGATGTGCCGCTGCCCGGAGTCCAGCTCGATGTGCCGCTGCCCGGAGTCCTGCCCGATGTGCCTCTGCCCGGAGTCCTGCCCGATGTGCCTCTGCCCGGAGTCCAGCCCGATGTGCCTCTGCCCGGAGTCCAGCCCGATGTGCCTCTGCCCGGAGTCCAGCTTGATGTGCCGCTGCCCGGAGTCCTGCCCGGTGTGCCACTGCCCGGAGTCCTGCCCGGTGTGCCGCTGCCCGGAGTCCTGCCCGGTGTGCCGCTGCCCGGAGTCCTGCCCGATGTGCCAGTCTTTGATATCCCGCCAGTTACCAGACCCGGGCGGTGGAACATTTTGCCCAGCTAGGACTGTTTGGAGCGTCCTGAGGCCGCTCCTTGAGGGGGGGGTACTGTCAGGAATGGACTTGCCAGTAATGGTGGGACTCACCTGCCTTGTGGGCTGCAGTACCAGGGCTGGCCAGCGGGTGCTCCCAGCAATCAGAGACTCAACCCTGCAGCCAGCCAAACACCTGAAGTTGATTATACAGGTGTATTTAAGGGATGGCCAGACCTGCAGTCTCTGCCTTGGTGTGTGTTTTTCCTGGGCCCTGTATCTTGTTCCTGCATCCCTGTTCCTGTTCCTGTTCCTGTCTGATTCGTTGCTGACCCTGCCTGATCCGGACCTCTGCTGACTTCTCCTGTTTTATCCCTGGCTTGTGACCCCGACCATTCTCTGCCTGACCCCCTGTACCTACCTGCCCGATTGTTATTGACCCGGCCTGCCTGACGACGCTTGCATTGTATGTACTGTTATCTGTGGGTGGTTTGGTTCGTTTGCACTGTGTTATGTTTTAGTATTGCACTGCGTTTATGTTTGTATTGTTAGTCTTTAATAAATTATATTGTTTATAACTTATCTGAAGCCTGCATTTCCCTGCGTCAGTCACATATCTCTGGTCACACCCCGGAGCCCTGACACTTCATATGCTACTCTAGGCTTTTTATTTCTCCATATGTATCTTGTTATCAATCTTTTCATTATTTTAAAATATATCTCTGGAAGCTTAATAGGGACTATTTGTAATTTATATAGGATTTTAGGAACAATTATTATTTTTACCAGATTTATTCTTCCCATCCAGGAAATACTCCTTGCTCTTACTTTCTTTATTTCTTCCTTAATTTGGTTTAACAGGGGAATATAGTTTGATCTATACAAATATTTATATGTAGGAGTAAGTTTCACCCCCAGATATTTTAATTCCTTCTCTTTCCACACAAAAGGGAAATTCCCTTTGTATCTTTTCTTTCTCACTATTTGGGAGGTTTATATTCAATATCTTCATTTTATTAGGGTTGATATTTAAATTAGACACCTCCCCATATTCCTTCAACGCTCTCATTAAATTAGGGAGTGTTATTCTAGGGGTTCCAACATAAAACAATAAATCATCCGCAAAAGCAGCTACCTTATGTTCAGTACTTCCTATACCTATTCCCCTAATATCCACATTTCTCCTTATTGTTAACAGCAAGGACTCCAAAGATAAGACATACAACAGAGGGGACAATAGGCAACGCTGTCTTGTTCCATTTGACATCTCAAATGACCCTGACATTTCCCCATTTACCAAAACTACTGCAGAAGGATTTTCATATAATTTTTCTATCCAATCTCTCATTCTGCTTCCTATTCCCAAGGCTATGAAAGTATCCATCATAAAACTCCAGTTGACTCTATCAAATGCCTTTTCCGCATCCACAGAAAGCACAACCACCGGAAGCTTTTCCTTTTTACATTTCTGAATTAACATTAGCGATCTTAGCCCATTGTTTTCTACCTTCTCTACCCTGGACGAACCCAACCTGATCTCTATGCACCCATTAAGGCATTAGGTCTCTCAACCTATTTGCCAAAACCTTTGCATACAGCTTCGTATCATATTCAACAACGATATGGGTCTATAACTTGAACATTGGGAAACATCCTTTCCTTCCTTATGGATAAGGACCACTTGAGCCTGCAAGGATTCCCTCCTCATTTCCATCTCTCCCCCCAAGGCATTCATATAACTCTTCAATTTAAGCATCGGTAGTTCAATATATTTTCTATATTACCTCACTGTATATCCATCCGGCCCAGGGCTCTTTCCTGTCTTAAAACTATTTAATGCCCTTTTTATTTCATCTTGTGTAATTTCAGAGTCTAGGGAGTTTAGAAGTTCTTCATTTAATTTCGGTAGGTCTGCATTTTTTAAATATTCCCTTTTTTTAATTATTATTTACACTATCATCCTTACTTATAGAGTCATGTGAAGCAATGTTATATAATTTACTATAATAATCCTTAAATACCTTCGCAATTTCTTTAGTTGAATACACCAGATCTCCCTTGGGATTTTTTATTTTATCTATATAATTTCTATTTTTCTTTTTCCTCACAGCTCTCAAAAACTTTCCTGGTCTATCTCCCCATCTATATCTCTCCTCTATCACCTTATAAAAACTCTCCTCTTTTCTTCCTCCATCATATTCTCCAATTCTTCCTTCTTTATGTTTCATCTCTTTAGTTATATTATAGTGGCAGGGCCACTGATGAAACAGAAAGATGAAACTTTCTGTTTCATCTCTTTAGTTATATTATTTTTATGCAGTTGTTCTAACTCAGCTAATTCCTCCAAGAGCCTACTAATTTTTTTTCTCTCCTCTCTCTTTTTTTTTTTGCGCCGATTGCGATAAGGATTCCTCTTATATACGCTTTATGGACCTCCCATACTGTAGCCACTGAAACATCTCCCGTCTCATTTTCCTCAAAAAATCTCCAAATTTCTTCTCCAATCTTCCTATCAGTGTCTTGATCTGTAAGT